GAACCAAAGCCCGCAAATCATGCTTCTGAAAGTCCTCCAGCTTCTTGTCAAAAAAAAAAAAAAAAGCCAAACCTGGCTAAAAGACAAATCTTATCTACCTGACTGTGTTGGACCCAAATAATGCCAATCTAAGAAACAGAAATATGTCCTTCTGGTCATTGCCTCCAGGAAGAGGTACGCAATGTTGGGAATTTCTTCGTGGAAGTCCTAGGAGCATGAGATTGGATCTTGTCCAGAAATAGAGATTCTGTTACTTCCCTGCAAGGGAAGGATGGGTTGTGGCAGCCGTGGGCAGCCCTGAAGCCCAGGAGGCATTGGGCTTCTCTGGACTGGAGCACCAACACCCCCTGCTCATGGTACCATTTGTCTTTCCTTCCTTCAGTTGCCTCGTCTGACAGAGGAGCTTCTTGGACTCAAGAATGGCAAGGGTTCCTTCTAGTCATGTCCTTACTCCTTTGTTGTAACTTATTTCTCTTTCCTTCTCCTCTCCCCCTCTCTGTCCTGTGTCTCAGGCACAAGGAAGGTTGCCCAGTGGCTCACCTGCAGCCTTCCATGGGAGTGGGTGGAAGAAGAAAAGTGATGGTCTTCTCTGAGTTTTAGGCTGATAATTAGCATCCTGCAAGAAACTCCTTAAGGGCCCTCTTTTACTTCTGGGCTGTCTGGTAACTCAGGACTGTGGTGCTTCTAGGGTTAAAGTCAAGCACTCCTCAAGTTTTCAGATGGCTGGTTCCAAGAATCAGCCTTTAAGTTCTGAAAACCACGTGCTTCGCAATTTGTACTCAATGGTTTCTTGACTTCCATTTCTTTTAGTCTATGGTTACTAATTATGCAGGGAACAGGGCACATGTACTAGGAAATTATCTCTTAGGATCATTCATACATCATGGGACTAGATAGAAGGGAAGCTTGCAGGTGGTTAGGTAAGGGTGTCACCTATCAGCCAGTGATTTCAGACTTTAATATTTAGAAAAAGAGATAGAAAATATTTAAGATGCATGTGTGAGGAGTGGGGTTTTTATTCTAAAAATTTTAAATAATTAAAATCAACACAAATGTTATAGTTTTTTCCTAAATAAGATGGTGTCCTCATTTGTCTGAATTATCTCTTAGTTCTCATGATATGTGAATTTTTTACCTACTTATAATGTTACCATAAATATTTTGCATTTTTACCCAAATTCATGTATAATTTTTTTTTTAAGAAAAAAGACAATTAGATCAAGTTTTGATGCTGACCACTGGGCAGCTATATGATGACACCAGGTGTGACTTTCCTTTCTGGCTTTGCCTTTGCTTTAACTTTTTGATATTTTGGCTTGTATCATAAAAAAATAGGAGCTTATGAATAGCTACTTTACACATATACTGGGTGGAAAATTAATTGATGTGTGATTCCTGAAGCGCCAAGATAGAAAGATGTGGTTTGACATGACAACATACTTGTAAAGTATCTGATGTCTGGGCAGACCACCAGGTCAAACTGTGTCTTTCTGTTATTTATGTCCTTTCACTCTTTTTCTTTTTCTTCCTGTCATTTCCAAGCATTCCTCTTCAAAATCCTGGGTGAGTCTACCAGTGGAGATCCTCCTTGCCAACCTTGGCGGTGCGTGCCCTGTGTTAGACACTATGCTAAGCGCTTGGCTCCCACCAAGTCTCATTTACCCTGCCTCTGAAGGAGGTACCATTGCTCCACCTTGCTGAGGGGGACCCTGATCTGCTGAGGTGAAGTTCACTCCAGGTTCTAAGCCTAGGAAGTTATGGAGCTGGTGTATCCACACAGATCTTTACAACTGGACCTTTCTAATTACAGATCAGGCTCTTTGTGATACTGTACTGATTTTCAATGCAGATTCTGAATCAGAAATAAGAGAAAAAGACAATCTGCTTTAGGGTGAACTCTTTATTCTTTGAATGGTATGCTCTTTCTATTTTTGTTTAGAAGGTTGAATTCACAGTCATTGGCTTCTATAATTCTACATGCTGGAGACACTTATTATTGTACATCATTGGCTAGAAAATATGGGTTTATGTAATAGGAAAAGGTATTTCAGAAATGTAAACTGAAGGAAGAGAAAGACAGCAAATTTCCGGATGTCTGGGTTCCTTTTTTTTTTTTTTATTGTAAACTTCGTAAACGATTTGGTTGGTTCCATTTAGAATCAAAAGTTAACTGCCTGGTGGATAAAAATAACTTCTTTTGTAGTTTTACCTCATGCAACAATAACATATTGTGCTTTTTCATGGAAAGATCTATTTTTAGAAGGAATGCCAGCACCCTCAACTCCATGAGTAATAACTATTTGGCAAGATGATGCTTACAACAGATAATCATTCTGAGCCCTTCTTTGGAGAGCTTATGATTGTTTTTTTTTACGCAATTTCTACGTGTTATTTTATGATACATGAAACCTTTAAAAAAAAAAACCCTTAAAGGATATATGTACAGGGTTTTGGGAATTCCTTTTGTTTCCTGTGTAGTGACTCACAATTTAAATGTACCCAGTTGTGCAGAGAGAGCATGTATCCTTGTCTTACCAAAAACAAACAAACAAAAAACACAAACAGAAAAAAAAAAAACCCAAAAACCATTAAACTAAACCTAAATCAGAAATAGAAACTACAGACCTCTGCAAACTCTCTGTCCTCCCTGAGGCAGGAGGCGGTGGATTGTGTTTGACGTCTATGAAGCAGGATGACTGGTGAATACGGAATGAGATGGTCCTGGGAAGAGACCATTTTCCTTCTGATTCTTAACTTCACAATAGTTGCTTTTCGGTTGTGGAATAATTTCACCCAGATTCAGAAGTTTAGATGCCTCGCTTAAATACAGCTGGAATTGATTCCGTACTGTTTAAAGTATTGAAAATACTTTCTTTTAGCTTTTCAAAATGTACAGGACACCTTTTAATTTTCTTATGAGTGTTTTTTGAAGAGTGAAAGTTTAATTTTGATAAAGCCCTATTGAACATTTTCTTCTTTTATGGCTCATGCTTTGGGTGTCCTATCTAACAAATTAATATATAAGAGGCTTTATCAAAAGAATAAAGGGCAGGCCTAAATGGTCATTCCAATAGATGCATGCAGAAAAACATTTGACAAAATCTAATATTCTTTAATTTTTTCCCCTGTGTGCTGCGGATTTGAAGTCAGGGCCTCATACATGCTAGATGAGTGCTCTACCACTGAGCTACATCTCCAACCCCTGCAATGATTTTTTTAAAAAGTCAACAAACTAGGAATAGAAATAAATTCACCACCTGATAAAAGACATCTATGAACCACCTATAGCCAACATCATATTTAATGGTGAAAGACTGAATACTTTCCTCCTAAATTTGGAAACAAGGCAAGGATGTCTGCTCTCGAAATTCCACGCAGGGCAATAAGACAATTTCAAGAAATTAAAGGCATTCGGATTATAAAGGGAGAAGTAAAACTGTCTTTAAATAATTTTGTAGATAAAAATATACAAAATCTGCAGAAGATATATTAGATCTAATAAGACAACTTATTATTAGATCTAGGAAATTCTTACTTGATTTACATATTTTCTTTGACAAGTTCAAAGAAATAAAATCCTAATTTTGTAGGAATTTACCAACTGATTCTAAAATTTACACGAGAATTCTAAGAACTGAAAATAATTCAAGGAAAAGGAAAAAAAAAGATGAACAAGCAGAATAAAATTGAAAGACTTATTCTAAGCTCACTATAAAGCTACAGTAATCAAGACAGTGTGCTGTTGGTATAAGGACTAATGTATAGGTCAAAAAACAAAACAAAACAAAACAAAAAAAACAGAACAGACTCCAGAAGTAAATCCTACCCTATGGTCAATAGTTTTTGACTAAAGTGACAAAGCAGTTCAAAAAATGAGAGGATAATCATAGGAAAATCTTTCAACAAATGGAAAATATTATATATCCATATGCAAAAAAGTAGACCTTTGCCTCACACCATTCACAACTCAAAATGGATCAAAGACCAAAATGTAAATCCAGAACCTATAAAATGTGCAGGGAAAAAAACCAAAGAATCTTTGTGACCTTGGATTGAGCAAGCATCTGTCAGAATAATGGTATGAATTTTGGGCAGTGCAATGGGGCATTTCTTCAAGGTGATCAACCCTTCCCTTCATTATGTCTATAAACTAACTTAAATCTAGGAATTAATCAAAGGATTGTGATCTTGTTTTATATATATATTAGTTGTAAATAAATGCAATACCTTTGCATTTATGTGGTGCTGTGGATCAAACCCAGTGCCTCACACTTGTGAGGCAAGCGC